TTAGTTCCCGTCTTTAATACATTCGTGAGAGGTCGTGCGATAATTAAATAGCTGGGAATAAACTTTCGGAAGTAACCCGTTAATCTTAAGAACTATTGTATTTGCCGCATGGTAGTGGGCGTGGGAAAACTCTTTACCGCTTCAGTCTTGCGTTCCGAAGGACGAATATGTCTATTTTCTATTATATGACCTAAAACAGGCCTCGGAATTATTTCATCTTTTCAGCCGATTCTCGTGGTATACGCCTTCTTTCCTCTCTTCACCGCGCGCGCGGCAGCCGCTAGGGCCAGCGCCGCCGAGCGTTAGGAGCGGCGCTATCTGATTAATGTTAAAAAAATTTATTAAAAATATTTTTTTCCTCAATAGCAATAGTACCTCATGGGTGACGTGGAAATCTATTGAAATATTTTCACATAATAAATTTAAAAATAAAAAAAATACTTTTAATAAATTTTTTTAACTTTTAATGATCAAGGAAGAAGGACCCAACATTTATCGGATAGCGCCGCTTCTATCTCGGCGGCGCTGGCCCTAGCGGCTGCCGCGCGCGCGGTGAAGAGAGGAAAGGAGGCGTATACCACGAGAATCGGCTAAAAAGATGAAATAATTCCGAGGCCTGGTTTAGAATATATAACAAATTACAGTTTCATAATTTTAATGCTCGTCTTCTGGTGTTATAAATTAATATTACAAACAGTGAAGTTTATATACGCCGTGTTCGTATATAGAAACTTGTAAAGTTTTTGTTTACATTTTTTAAAAGATAGCTACATGGTCATAGATATTTTGTCAACAGTCGGCTTTACCTATTTCTCGCAGTTCGTTAACAGCTTTTAACATCCGACTACACAAATTTCTAAGTTGTTGTTTGTTGAGGATAGCAATAAGTTATTAGATTTTCTTGTTAATCGAAAAGTTATTCATAGACACATTAAATGTCCATGGTGTGAAGCAATCGATTTAAATCGTGAGCGTCATTATTTTTCCTTATTTTTTCTCATTCTGGTGAAAAATATTTATTGAAGTATAAGTTGTGTGGCGGGGAGGGATAAAGCCGCTCTACGTATGAAAGTTGTATAAACAGATTCTTTTAATTAAATAATAACAAATTGTTCACTTCACTGTTCGTAATATTCGTTTATAACACTTAAAAGAGCATTAAAATTGTGAAACTTTAATTTGTTATATCTCTTAAATCAATGCCATCCCTCACTTGATTTTTGCGGGGAATTACTCAGAACAATCTCCCTTACAACATATCTAAATGGTGACAAAATCGATGAAGTGTAACCTAAAATGCATATTCATCTTTTCTTGTAAACGTTTATTTAACGATATAAATATTTCCGATTGTTTTTAGTTTATATGTAAATAAAACTGCAAAACGTCTTTTGTTAGAAGATATTTTTTTTGCTCCCTATGTGCGTTTAAAAAATAAAAGCTAATTAGTTTCAGCAACTTCCCATGGGACACCCTGTATGTTTTAATAAGTATGGTAATTACATAGAAAAATAGTCAAAAGTATATATTAAAATTTGATTCTTCTACTTGATTTTATAATAAATATTTCTTGTGTTTATATTTTTATTTCTTAGTTTATTCTTGTAAACAAAAAATGCCTAATTAAAAATACATTTTACTGAAAATATATTTAACAGTTCAGAAAAATTAAAATAAAGAATTGGTATACATATATTTTAAGAAATTAAAAAATTAAATGTTAATACTTGGTTAATAGATAAAGAACAAGTTTATTCATCTTCATATTAATAACAATGATCTCGTAGGATTTTATGCAAGAATAACAAACGTGGACGACATTCATGATAAAGTCTTTGAGTACGTGAAAGTTCTAGCGCGTCCTATGGTACTCTATCAGCACGATCATCCTATTCATTGGAGTCCTGCTTATGTAGGTGGAAAGGTGAGAAATTTAATTTGTGTTATTAACCTAGTAAACACAAGCTAACAGTAACATAACGTCAATGTTATAATTTCCCATTTAACAATGTAACTGCAATATAACATGCCTTGTACGTAACAATTATGTTGTTGAGTGGGAAATTGTAATATTAATGTTATGTTACTGTTACTTTGTGTTTGCTGGGAATATTAGTTATCTTATTCTTAAATTATTTCACATGTAAATTATATTACTCTGCATCAATTTATTATTTGAAAAAGAAGAGTAGCTTTCTATACTACACATTTTATGCGTTAATCCGAATTCAATTTAAAAAAAATACGTATTATATTGAAATTTTAAGAAAACTAAAGAAAAATATTGATTTGTCATGTTTATGATGCTACTCGAAAAAAATTAACTTATTATTTTGTTTACGCTACGTTAAAATACTAATTTTTGCTAATATGTAGATTTTGTTTTGTTTTCTTAGGATTTTTCTTAATTAATTAATTTACTACTTAAAAAGAAATAATTGTTTAATTTATAATTTTGTATAGCAAAGATTTTTGTTTTATTATTTTATGTTTTTTCAATGCGAGATGTTTAGGTTGTATTCGTTATGAGTTTGCTAACAATAAGATAGACTGTTAAATTGTACGAATAATATTAATTTTATTTAACGTGTACAGGGTGGGCTATTTTAATCTATGCACCCAAATTTCTCCGTAAGTAAGCCAAATACAGAAAAATGGTTCAGACAAAAGTTGTTCAGGACAATGGGGGTCACCTATTTGTGCTAGTGACTTTGACCTTGAAGTCAATTTTCAAGGTCATTTAAAGGTCAGAGTTATTTTTTAAAATGGAAACCCCTATTTTTTATTCCAAAATCTAATAGCTGGTGTCAAGAGCTTTTCAAAACACTATAATAAAGTTATTTTTCATTAAGTACTTTTCGAGTTATGAGGCTTGTAAATTACAGTATTTTGACATAAAATACAAAATATCTTGTGAAACATTCAATTTTTGGGAATCTTACCTTAATACTTTTATGCATAAAATAATGAGACGAATCAATTGGTATAAAGAAAACAACATAGTTGCTTCAAGAAAAAATAATGTAATTGCAACATGCAACTGCATACTTTTTTTTTAAACCTA